CCTGGAGCGATGGGAGGGAAAGGGCGGGGCTCTGGACCTAGGGAGAGTGTTGCCCCTTGGAGAACAAGACCCATCCTCTGGGAATCCTTAATGCTCTCTCTTTCCTGGCAGGAAGGACGACGAGATCAATTTGAGAAACTCTCCAGGTTCACCCTTGACTGAAGGAGGTAAGTCGGGCGTCTTTGGGAAGGGGAGGGCTGGAGAGCCGGAGTTAGCTCTTGGAGGGTAAGGCGCCCTCACCCACGGCGCTGGGCGGGGGAGAGCTGCAGGAGCTGGCTGAGCGGGAGGTGAGCACCCAGGCCTTCAGTTCACCCCTGGGAAACACATTTTTCCTGAAGACGACAGTTATTAGCAATTTCTAAGCGTCTGCAGACTACAGATTGGCCGCCCCTTGCTTAGGAGGTTTCCAAGAAAGCTTTCAAGGGGCTCGTTCTTCTCAGATGTGGGTGGAAATGGGAGGGAGAGGGCGGTCAGCTTTCCAAAAATAATTTTAAGGCCACATTTCAAAAAGGAGAACCTAAGGCTTTTTGGGGATAGGGATGGGGAGAAGATACGGCAAGTCAGAGAAAGCGAGAAATGGAGACGATTAATTAGGAATAGGGAAGGGGGATGGCGGGCAGAGGCAGCTGGAGAAGGCCCAGCTGAGGGGACGGGAAGGGTGGGCCACGTGCTCCCTGCATGGGGCGGGCAAGGACAGAACTAAAGCCAACGTTAGGGGCGGACACGGGTGGTGCAAGAAAGCCCTCCTTGGTCTTAAGAGGGGTCTATACAGTATTTTGTTTGCAGGGTGAAAAATAGAGAATTGGAAGGAGGGAGGGAGAGAGAGAATTTGCATAGATTGTTCATTCAGCCCAAGCAGATTTGGCCACCTTTATCTCCATTTCTCTCTCCCCTCCCACTCCCTGCAGGTAAACTTCTCAGCAGACACAGTGAGGTAGCGCCTGTGGTAGACCCATGGGCAAAGTAAGGTAACTGAGGCAGAGGCTGGGAGGACATTCTGGGGGTGAGCTCAGCTCCAGCAGGGCTTCCTGGGAAGCTTCCAGACGTGTGGCAAGCTGGCTGCTAAAACCTGGGGTTTGGAGAGAGCCGGGCTGTTTCCCACGCCACCCCCTCTTTCTGGCCCCCGTCCTTGAACCCTCTGCCTGGGTGTGATGGAATTCCGGAAGGTGTGGACCTCCTTGGGTACAGGGGCAACCGTTAGGGTATCCAGATTGTGTTCCTCCTTCCCTTCAGCACAAACTGTGGGGATCAGGAGAACGGGATGAACCGTTCTCCGGGGACACCTCCTTGGTGGGCCAGCTGTGGGACGGGAATGACTAGGAAGAGATTCCTATTCCCTTCAGCTTTCAACAGGAACTACTATTTTTGCCCTTAACACTGGCTTTCCTCACCTCACCGGGGCCACGCCTAACCTCCTTTTCACCCACAGGCTGAGCTGTGGCATTTCTCTGTGCCCATCCTCTGTTAAAGAAAAAAAAAAAAGCCAACATTTAAAAATCAGATTTCCTATTGAAGTCTGGATTTCTGGCTTCCTTTACCAAACTGGAAGGTTCTGCTGAGCTGCGCCTGCATGCTCACAGGTACCAACAGGCAGGAGCTGGGGAGCTGCTGCTCTTTTTTTTGGGGGGGGGGCATGTGCCACCAGCAACCCCCCCGGATACTTGTGGCCTTGACCATGGGGTGCCTGGCAGGCCTTTGCCAGCAGCTTTTCTAGTGTCTCTGCCTTGGATGCTGCTGGGGAGCTTGTGTCCTGAGTTCCTAGGGAAGGCGGCTGGGAAAGGGATCTTTGCTCACAACCACACCCAGCAGCCAGTGCTCCCCTCTATTCTGCCCTTTCTCAGCAAAGAGACCTGGGTACTAGCCTGTGACCTTCTTGAACCTGGAAACTAGAGAACCAGGGGGAAGCGGGGACCAGAGTAGCTGTGCTATGCACCTTCATGGGCTTGTGTGGCCTTCCTTTCAGCCTCTCTCAAGGCCACCTGCATTTTAAGAAGTTCAGTCTTAACAGGAAATGAAGTCAGGACGGCTCCGATCTGATCAGAAAGGCCTTGCTCCACAGGAAGGAACGGGTGCATTTGTTAAACATGGGGGGCCCTGGGAATTGCTCCCCCGTCTCCAGACATAGTGCAAGGCCTGTGTGGGGGGACTTGGGAGGGCTGCCTGTCTCCTATACTCTATCTCCCTCCTCACCAGGCCACCAGGAGGGAGAGTGGTTCTAGGGACCTCAGCAGTTCAAATGACACTGTGGGAAACAGAGGCCTCGTGGCCTGGTGAGGAGGGAGAAAGGGGGCCTGCCGGTCCCGGGGCAGGCTGGGAAACTGCCGAGTGCCACAGCCTACTCACTGCTTCCTTCTGCCCAAAGCTGACCCTGTCCCACCTTCCAGCTTTCTTGCCGTCCCGGGTCCAGGGGGGACAGCCCGCAGCCCGTACCGCAGCCTGCACAGGGCCTCCTGCTTTTCACTGATGCCCTCGGGCACCATTGCTGAAGGCTGTCTGACCAATAAACCATGCTCAGGGAAATTAAAGAATGAATTAAACCATTTTCCCCAGAAAAGATTGCTTTTTCTCAAATCATCCTGGGCTTTGTCTGGAATTCTCTCTTTCCCTTTTCTCCCTAAAGTAACATCTGCAAAGTTGTTCTCTGTCCGGAAACAAAAGACATTAAGGAAATAGCCAGATGATCTCTCTGTGTCCCAGAATAAGCCAGCTCTGCCATTGCCCCACCTGTTTCAGGTGGGAAGAGGAGGCAGCCTCATCAGCAAGTGCAGGAGGGTCTGTGCAGCCACTCCGCAGCCACTGCAATGGCACCACAGGAAACACCCTGTCCTCGTGGCCTGGTGAGGAGGGAGGCTCCCTGGGCAGCTCGGACAGGCACAGGGACATGGCCAGAAGCTGGGGGCAGAGCGGGGATGTGGCACAGGCCTCCCAACACTTTAAGTCCATTTAGCGATGACAGGGGTTTTCTGAGAAAGCTGCTCTGAGGTCCCCAGGACCACTATTGACAGCATCCACCTACCTGGCCCCATCTGACCACCTCCTCTCTTCCTGACAAGGATTTCTTTTCCTCCCAGGCCCGGAGCAGCCGGTTTCCCTGTGCATCTTGTCATGTTACATGGAAGTACATGGCCAGACCGGCTGAGGGAGGTAAGTGAGGAGGAAGCAGGACCGTTGAGCTTGGTGGTCGGCACACTCTCCCGCTACAGGTGCTGGGCCTACTCTGGGCCTGGGGTGGGAGTGGGGATGGCTCAGGAATTCCAACCCCCGAGGAATGAGAGGGGGGGCTAGATGAAGCTCATGCTCTGCGTAAGGAAAGGTGGGGCTCCTTGTTCCCCAGGTTCCCCCTTTCAGCCAGGGCATGATGCTGAGGACTCGGAGAACGGAGGGCAGACACACAAGCCAAGAAACAGAGACAGACACTAGGAGCTGGGTGAGGGGGGGAGTACACGGAGGGGAAGAGCTGGGGCACCTTTTGTGAACAAAGGCAGCTTCCGTTAGTAAGAGAACATAATTGACAAGCTGCAAAAACAGCACCTACTAATTAGTCATGGACTAAAACATAAATAATAAATACCTAAAGTGTCCTTTCTCTGTAGCCTCCATGGCCCATAGGACATCCTGCCTGGCTGGGTGGGGGATGGGATAGTTCCAGGGGCAACAGTTGAAAGGTCATGGGAGCAAAGGGCGGTACCTTCGTATTCCTGCCGGGGAGACAGGGAGACGGGGAGACGTGCCGGAAACTGGCTCTCTGGGAAGGGCAGTTTGCAGCCCGGGGAGGGACCTGACCAGGGAGCCCTGCCCTTTGGGGGAGGTGGGATTAGAGGAGGAAGAGGAGCAGGCTCAGAGGAGCAGGGGACTCTCTGCGGGGCACGTAGCAAGGAAACCCTCCAGGCTTCTGGGAGCTCAGGCCGCTGGAACACTACTATCCTTTAGGCTTTAAACAAGCAGACTCTCAGGTGTCCCACTTTTACACGGCATGTCGCCCGGGATAAAAGAAGGGCATGAATTGAAGAACCAAATCGGAAATGCTTTTTTTTCCTGGACGTGAAAAGTCTGGTTTGGTCACTCCCCAACAGCACCGACTGCAATTCCCAAAGGTATGGGCGGTGGGAGAGCCTGACCTCGGAATGGAAGGGCTCAGGCCGGGGGCCGATATTGCTGTGCTGACCAGCTCGGGAGTTTTGCTCCAAACCGTCTCTAGGCGTTTCATGGCCACGGGACCCGGTGTTCCCACGGTCAAGGATCCACAAGGTCCTGGCCTTGGTGTCCTGGCCCATGAACGGCTGGAGAGTCATCATCCCATTTTCCCCTCAAGGGAGGGGGCACGGGACCCAGGACCTTTGGCAGTCACACCCTGCTGGACCTTGGCCACACCACAGGCTTCCCTGCTCATGTGGTGGCGAAGAAGGGCTGGTGGGAGGCCTGCTGGATCTCAGGGACCTGTCATTTCGGGGCAGGAAGAGGAGCCGAAGGGTGGGGCTGGCGATCAAACCCACCGTCTGGGCAGTGCTTTTCGAACTGGGTTTTGCAGAGCCCTTGGGTTCTGGAGAGGTACCGTAGGAGATACCCTTGGCAGAGGGACCGCCCGGCCGGCTGAGCGTGGAGGAAAAACCTCCCTCTCCCCGGCCCCGCCCAGAGCGACCTGGGTGTCACCTGCACCTGGAAGGCCACCCGCCACTGCGCTTCGTAAACAGAGCTCTGCTGCTCAAAGGGAACGTCTGAGAACCACTCGTCTCGGGGGGTGGTCACTGGAGGGGAAGACAAGGACCCTGTAGGACTCGAGGACCAGCCGGAAGAGGTAAGACCACACCCCCAGGAGCCAGCTCGCCATGTGCAGGTCGCCGTCGTCGTTGTCGGCAGACCCCGCTTTGGCCTCAGAACCTTCCTTCTGCATGTTTCCATGGCCAGGAGAGCCCCTCCCGCAAAAGGCGCCCCCAGGGCGGGGGGCCCTCTGGCTGTGTTCCCTTTGACATCCGCCGCGGCCTGCCCGTGTGTGTCCGGTGCTACCTGAGCCGGCCGTCGGGCTTGACGGCCCCCAGCTCCGACTTGGGGTCCGGGCTGAAGGAGCTCCAGGCCGTCTGGCTGCAGGTCTGCATGACCGGGCAGGCGGTGGGGCCCGTGGCGCAGACGTCCATGGCGGTCCACGTGCTGCCCACCAGCGCGTCCAGCCAGCGCTCCAGCGCGGCGCCGGTCGAGGCCGCGTTCCTCCGGGCCTGCTCCACCTGCGCCGGGCTCACGGGCAGGCTGAGGACGGGGTTCAGGCTCTGGAAGCTCTGCTCCATGTAGGCGCCGCGGGGGGGTCCGCTGTGCAGCTTCAGCGCCTCCTCTGAAAGCAAAGGGAACCATCATGTCATTAAAAGAGCCAGGAACCCGGTGCCTGCCGTGGGCCCGGCACCACGCTGGGCACCGGAGTGGCACCACTTCATTCGCAGGACAGGCTCAGGAGGACCCGTTTCCTCAGTCCCACTGCGCAGACGAAGAAACGGAGCCCGCGACAGCTCTGAACCCGCTTCGGAGCGAAGTTCATTCGTTCCCTTGGGCAGAGCACAGGGAGTACAGTTAGGCTGTCTGGGTCTGAATCCCCACGTCCCACATTCCAGGGTGTGACTTCTGACTTCAAAGCCCAGTGCCTCAGTTTGCTCATCAGTAGAATGGGTGGAGTACTGATTCCTTCCTCACAGCTTCATAATGATGAAATGCACTGACTCACACAAAATGCTTGCAGCGGCCATCAGAATATACCAAGGGCTTGGGAAGGTTCAACTTGAATGACTACTGTTCACTGTTGGTATTATTAGTGTACAACGCATACATGCACAACTGTTGGGCTGGTATTATTCTACCCATTTTATAGATGGGAAAACAGAGGCAGCTCTGCTAGAGACAGGTCTGGGGTTAAATCTAAGACTAGGTGACTCCAAAGCTGGTGTTTGTCTTCATGATAATCTACTGAAGGCTCATCCACCAGCTGGAAGCTAAAGCACTAGTTTTGTTTTCCCATCTCAGAGCCAGTCTTTCAAAGACCTGCTTTCCCCGCCTGTAAAATGGGGGCACTCATCCTTGTACCAATTGGACCGGCTGGGCTGGCAAGAGGCTCTGTGGAAATGCACGCACTTTGTCAATGGTAACGTGACGTATAAACCAGAGGCCTTAGTGATGGGGAAGCAGAAAGGGCAGTGATTTGGGCTGAAGGAAAGAAGTGAGTTGTTTCTATTTTGAAAGAGCTTCCACTCGTTGTTTATTGTCAAACACAAGAATATGAATATATATATATATATATATATATATATATATATATGTGTGTGTGTGTATATATATATATATATATATATATATATATATATATATTTTTTTTTTAATACCGACTAATGATCCTGATGAAAATTAGAAGAAAAGATTAGAAGGAACTTCCTTGTAAGACTAAGTGTTGTTCAAAACTTAACCCTTGCTGAAACTGGTTTGGCTCAGTGGATAGAGCGTTGGCCTGCGGACTAAAAGGTCCCAGGTTCGATTCTGGTCAAGGGCACATACCTTGGTTGCGGGCACATCCCTAGTGAGGGGTGTGCAAGAGGCAGCTATTCGATGATTCTTTCTCATCGATCTTTCTAACTCTAATCGATGTTCAGCAAGCAGAACAGTGCCCGTCACCCTTCGCGGCAACCAGGACACCCTCATTGTCGGCAGGTTATTTTCTAACAAGTGTGGTCTTCAGGGGAAAAGAGGAGGAAGAAAGACCATGTACAGGGCACCCCGCAAAATGCATACACACTTTCACAGCTGAGAGCTCAATTTTTTAAATGAATGCATTTTAGTAAACACTGCCTTTATGATTATTCTGAGTGTGTGTATATATTTTGGGGGCGCACCCTATCTATGTCTGCCCTGTAGTTGAATTAAAAGTATGCCTTGGCTAACACAGACAAGAAAGTCATTCCTTCCCTTCCTAATACTTCAGGAAGCTGACGGGCCGGGCTCCACAGTTTAGAGGAGCAAGTGGGAGAGAGGAGACCGGCAGGCGTGAGCATGTACCCTGTCCTCTGTGACTTAGCGGCACTTCTCCCTTTCCCAATAGGTAAGCCCGGGTGTGTCTACCGGCCCTGGCCCTCCGCTCCTTGATGCTGGCAGAGGGCAGGCAGCTCCTGTGTCCTTCACCAATGCGGGTCTCATTTCTACTCACGCCTCTCCATGCCTCCATCTTGCAGGTGGGGAGCCGGGAGATGCCAAACCCACAACACGCTGGCACGCAGAGTGAGGAGAGCAGCCCACATCTAACACCAAACACTGCGGTGGCTGCAGAAAACCCTTATGAAAAGGGAGGTTACTGGGGCGTGCTCTGACAGCATCAGCCTCCAGGGCTCACCTCTGTAATTAAATTTTCCTTCTGCCACCTCCTCAGATTTTCTGAGATTACTGGGGATGCATCAATAGCAAATTGCTCTTGATGAATCGTTTTTACAAATTGCATGGCTCCCTCCTTCGTGTTCCCCGTCGTTGGAACATCATTAACAGATACCAACGATGACAATGGGGCGGGGCTCCCAGTGGGGGTACAGGGACCCCCTGGTTCATGCTAGGCATGGGAAGAGCCTCCAGGAGAAAAACATTGGGAAACTTAGGCCCCGGAAAAGGGCCCAGGCTGTTTGCTGAGGTGGGATGGAGTCAGGACCGCGCCCTTGTTCTGTCCAGCGGGTGCCCCCGCCACAGAGGTCTGGACTGCCCTTCCCATCCCACCCCTCCTCTCCTGGCTATGGAGACCCCGCGGGATGCCAAGGACGTGAACCTGATCCAGGACACCCTGGGGGTCCTCAGGGTTGTGCGCTGGCCCAGACAGTCCTGGGGAGCTTTTGTCTGTTTCCGCGGAGAGGAAAGGCAGACTTCCATCTTGAGAAAACCTGAGGGCCCTCCCTTTCTGCTTGCTCAGCACAGAAACGTAGCAAGGTCCACACTCCCTTTTTATAGGACTCTGCCCCTTCTCTCCCCTCCCCATATCCATGTGCCCTCTTCTTGTGTCACTGGCTCAATGGCACCCAGCTCAGATGCTTAGCTACCAGAGGCTGAGATCTGTTAGTTCGACGGAGACAACACCAGGCAGCTACTGCTTGACAATCTAAGGCAGTGGTTCTCAACCTTTCTAATGCTGCAACCCTTGAATACAGTTCCTCATGCTGTGGTGACCCCCCAACCGTAAAATCATTTTCGTTGCTACTTCATAACTGTAATTTTGCTACTGTTATGAATCATAATATAAATATCTGTGTTTTCCGATGGTCTTAGGCGACCCACAGGTTGAGAACCGCTGCTGTAGAGCCTAAGACCATGGGAAAACACAGATATTTACATTACGATTCATAATAGTAGTAAAATTACAGTTATGACGTAGCAACGAAAATAATTTTGTATTGCCAAAATCGGTTTGGCTCAGTGGATAGAGCGTCGGCCTGCAGACTGAAAGGTCCCGGTTTCAATTCCGGTCAAGGGCATGTACCTGGGTTGTGGGCACATCCCCAGTAGGAGGTGTGCAAGAGGCAGCTGATTGATGATTCTCTCTCATCGATGTTTCAAACTCTCCCTCTCTCTTCCTCTCTGTAAAAAAATCAATAAAATATATTTTTTAAAAATAATAATTTTGTGGCTGGGGGTCACCACAACGTGAGGAACTATATTAAAGGGCCGTGGCATTAGGAAGGTGGAGAACCACTGCAAGGGAAAAGAGGTCAGTGCCCCCGACTAAACAGACAGGTGCTGCATGCTTTAAAAGTTCCTGTGGCTCCCCGGTTGAAAAACCGCTGACCTGGTGTATCATCTTTTTGATGAGCAGGACTTCCTGTTTTAATTAATATTTTTCACACAGGGAACAAGATTTGCTAAAACTCAGTATCTGCCTGGGTTTATTTTCCATCCTGTCTTAAATATGATCAGAGCCTTCTGGGAGCCCGGGGGGAGAGCATCTACTCAAAAGTTACCTAAATCACCGACAGGTGAAGTCATCTCAGTGTGCAGGCAGAAAAACAGCCGCTGAGAGCACAGAGTGTGGTCCTCTAGAGTGGCCCCGTCCCCACACATCTGGGCAGGACCACCGCCTGGGCGATGGACCCCAGAGATCCCAGGGGATGGCATATTACCCCCCACCCCCACCCCGGACCCTGGACTCCCAGCAGAGACACAGGGAGTACTCACCCATTTTGATAGGCTGCCTGTTGGAGAAGGTCAGAGGTGCGACGAGGAATCTGGTCTCTGCGACCGGCACCCAGTGGTGGAGAATTCTCACGGTCCAGACCCCCGGCCGCAGGGGCAAGTTCAGGGGGGGCTTGTAGTGGGTGAACTCGGCTGTGGACTCGATCAGGATGTCGTAGGTGGCTGCGATGACGTTGACGGGATCCACCCAGACGACGGTCACGGTCACGTTGGGGCCCTTGCCCCACTTCTGCATGCCCACCGGCTCGTCCATGGGCCCCAGGAGGCCCCCGAAGTTGCGGAAGAGCCGCTCCTTGGCATCCCAGTCAGTGCCAACCTGGAACAGGAGAGCGAGTCCTGAAATCACTGAGACTGAGCTATGGTGATGGGTCCTAGAAAGGCTTGGGATCCTGCTTGTGGGGCAGGATATACCCATTTTACAGAGGAGGACATGGTACACTAAGGTTCTGATTAAGTTACTTGCTCATGGTCAGACAGAAAGCAAGCGGAAGACCTGGTATTTGGTTCCAGGTTGGAAGACTACAAGGCCTCTGGCCTGTTGACTAAACCTCAGGGCCTCCAGTGCCTGGCGCCTGCTGGGTGCTTTGGGAAAAAATGTGCACTGAATCAATGAGTGAATGAGTCCCTGCTTGAGGCCGTTACAAGGAAACATACACCCTGCCATTCAACAGGTGCAGGATTCCGCTTTGCTCCTTGGTTTTCCAGGTCATGCGCCTCTGTCGAAAGTGATTGTTCTGAGTGAGCCTAGAGCTCAGGTTTTGGAGCTGCCCTGTCATCAACTAGAAAAGAAGGGTCCCTCAGCATCGCCCGTCACCTGCAGGGGTTCACATGGCTTTCCCAGGAAGATTCAGCTCTGGCCTCCCTAACACATTCTGAGCTGGACCCCAAGTTCAGGCTTAACAATGCCTCCCAGCTTCAAACCCATCAAAGGTTTTGCACAGCCCTTAAAATACAACCCAAACTTCTCCCCAGGGCCTGCAAGACCTCCCATGGTCTGCCCCCCTGTCCCCTCAGAGGCCTCCCTCCTATCACTCTCCCTCCTGCTCACTGTGCTCTGGTAAGCACGGGCCTTGCTGCTCCCGGAGCCCAAGCTCCTGCCTGGAGCCCCAGGGCCTTTGCCTTGCACATGCTTTTCTCTTAGAAGGTCCCAGGGTACAGTTTTCAGCTCTGAAATGATTCTTAGAAAAGCCTTGCTCAACGAATCACCCCACGGAAAGTAGTCCTCCTCAGCCTCTCAAGGCCTCAGCAATCACATGGAGGGAATTTGACCTTCTTTGCATGATGCTTGTTATTAATGGAAGTGTTCTTGTTCATTTGTTTGCTCACTCATTGGCTCCCATGACTACAAGGGTCTGCTCTATCTGGTTGACATTGTTCCTTCTGCACCTTGCGTATCTTGGGCACTCTGTGACTGGCTAAGCCACTGGCCTGGGGCATCCACGGGATGGAGAATTCTATCCAAGCTCCCCACCTGCCCTGGGCCAGCCCTACACACAGCCCTGGGGCTGTGCCGATTGGAGAGAACGTCTCAACATGGAGTTCTATTCCTCCTTCTTGTCCAATTTCACATTTGCCTTAAAATTAAGGCTTTAAAAAATCGAAATACAAGATCCGAAATTCCCTGCTCACATGCTGGTACTCTGCCAGAGGTCTCGGTGGCTCTCACACCAAGGGTACCAGAGCTATCTAACGCAGGATCCCTCACAAATCACCAGCCACGAGTGGCCAGCGTCGTTTGTCACTGCCAGAAGTGCCCGGTCCCCCAACGGCAGGCTGATAAACAGGGAGAGCCCAGCCACCAGCATCCATCTCCTTAATGGGACATTAATGTCTTCAATTGGCCGCCTGGGCCCCCAGCACAGATTCCGATGGGGGCAGCATCTAATTGCCCCCCTGGTGCCAGTAATTTATGGTGTGGGCTCCCGTGGCAGCTCAGATCCAGCCAATCTGTTTGGAGCCTTAATTGAAAACCGTGGCTTCACAAGAAACTCTCGTCTGTGCCTGGTTAGTGCCCCTCGGCAGGGACCAGGTTGGCCAGGTGGGCCACTGGGGACTGGAAAAAGACTAGCAAGGGAACATAAGTGGGTGCGATACTCACTCCCATCCCTTAAAAGATTCTCCACATTGCAATATTTGCTCCCAAGCCAGCAGCCAAACTCATTGGGGGAAGCTCAACTCCAGGAATGAATCCCTGCGTTAGAAACCCCATGAGGAATTTTGTGTGGGCAACCCTCACCAAGCTTGACCAGGCTTCCCCTTCCTTCCAGGTCTCCAGCCAAGTGCAGGCGCTCATTCATTCAGAAGTCATTGGTGCTGACACTACCACGGATGTCTCCCATCTTCCCCCATTTGCCCACCTCCACTTGCCTCCATCTAGCTTCCCTGGCCTTCACCACACTGTTGTCTGTGTCCAAGGACTAGGCATGTATGTTATTCGGCTAATCCCTCCACCTTATTCCGCATCTGCAAACACTACATACTCTTCTATGTGCTGGTTTACGCAGTGAGTGAGAGGGATATTTACTGTCTTCGCTCTGCTGTGGACAATCATCAAGTGATTAGCAAAACCAACAAGATGATGCTAGATGGTAAACGCTAAGAAAAGAACTAAAATAAGGATGTGTCAGGCAGAGAGGGTAGCTATCATGGCCTAAGTGAGTGGGCAGAGAAGGCATCTCGGAAGGTGCATTGTTTGGATTTAGAATGACCCCCAAAATAGGTGAAAACCTGTGAGAGAGCGTTTGAGGCAGGAGGATCAAGCATGCCACACCTGAGGCGGGAACAAACGTGGCATGCTTGACAAAGACACGACAAGTGTGAGGAGAGTGGTCCTGGATGAGGCTGGAGAAGTAGAAAGAGGGCAGTTCAGGTCTGGAGGTGGGGCTGAGGTCTTAAGGGTGGTGCTGGATAAATCCATCTCCCCAGGCAGGAAAATAACTGAAAGCTGATGCTGTATTGGAGGGGTAGAAACTGCATTCCATAGGTTATGCTTCAGTCCATCTGTCCAAACACTGACACATCTGTCAGTCCGTCCGTCCGTCCATCCATCCATCCATCCATCCATCCATCCATCCATCCATCCATCCATCCTTCCCTCCCTTCATCCATCCATCCATCCATCATCCATCCATCCATCCATCCATCCCTTTGTCCATCTGTCCACCCATCCATCTATGTATTCACCCACCCATCCATCCATCCATCCATCCATCCATCCATCAACTCATCCATTCAGTAATTGATCTGATACTTATTTTAAGCTAAATCCTGTGCTAACATCCGGGGAGACAAAAGCACAATTAAGCACGGGACTTGCAGCCTCAGAGACCTGGGTTCAAGTGTGAGCTCTCCCACTTCCTAGCTCGGATCTGGAAAATCACTGAATCCCCATAGGCTTCACTTTTCCCATATGTAAAACAGGATAGATGCCCCTACTTCACCAGGAAACTGGTTTGTTATTGATCCACTACTAACACAAGTCTAGGAGGAATCACTAGCAAGGATTAAAAAAATGAAAAGATAGAAGTTCTACAAAAAATAGACCAAGGGCCCAAGTTGGTTTGGTCCACTGTCCTTCTCCTCCCGACCTGTTTAAGATGCCAGTTCCAGTGTTTGGGACTGAAGAACCCTCTACAGGCACAGGTTGAGCTTATCTTGGGGCTCTCCAAGTCCCCTTGTCCTCCATCTCCAACTACAGGTGTCAGACCATGGAACAGGGCCCAGCCAGGGGGACGCAAAAGGCAGTGAAGTACGACAACACTTAGTCTCTTACCTCGGAAAACTGGAGCCGCCCAAAGTCGCTGGGTGGGCTTGCGATCTTGAAGACCTTCTTTGGCATCACCCACGTCTCCAGCGTCTCGAGCTTGCTCACGGCCAGATTGGTAGCATGGTGCTTGATCAGAAAGCCCTGGAAGCGGTCAGCGAGAAAGTAGAGGTGGACAGACGCTGGGTGGCCCATGGGATAGTACCTGAAAAACACACACAGTCTCACATGAGCTCATGGGTCAGGGCTGGAGATGTGTAGGCTCATAATGGGGTGCCCCCCCCCCCCATCATGCTGGCCTTGTTCCTAAAATAACCCCCGTTTTATACAATGCTTACCGCATTCCTGATGCTGCTCCCTGTGAATCTATGATTTCAATAACTATTACTAGCTTTTGGGATGATTACAAATTGTAAAGCATGTTGATTGTATGAAAGCACAATAAAGAAAATAAACATTGCTACACTTTGGAGGTTTCTTTACACAGACGGTGGCAATGCACAGATATTTATTGACTCTCTGGTGCTAGGTGTTGGGAAGCACCAATGGTGTGCAAACAATGTCATATTGACTCATTTCCCTTTGGCCTTATTTCCTATGCATATATTTGCATAAATCTCATACTAGATCATAATATATACACTTGTTATATCCTGCTTTTGCAGGCATTATCACATTTTTGAAGAGTCTCTGAAAACATGACACACACACATATTATTCCACTGTATGTAATACCGTATTGTACTGGGCAAGTTCCCCATCACTGGCTGTTTAACTGGTTTCTAATTTTTTGGCCTTTGTAGACAATACTGCATTAAACATCCTTGAGTAAAAATGGCACCTCCTCATGCGCTCTCTCTCCCTCTCCTTCTCCCTCTCCCTCTTTCCCTCTCTGTCTCCCCATCTTCCTCTATTTTCCAAAGGGCCCTTCATGCCTGCTGTCCAACTTTATCAAAAAGGTATTGATTTACACTCTCACTGTCCTCAGTCAAGGCACTGGACATTATCCTTAAAAATAAAATTCATTCACGAAAAGGTAACTGTTTTAGGACACTTGACTTTGACACACAAACAGTCACTGGGAGAAAGAGCTCGGGGAACTCAGCAGAGATGCGCAGAAGGAGCTCAGGTGGGAGGAACTTGGGATGGGGCCAGCTTTCTTTCCTTCTGGAGGAATAAAAAGGCTGCTGGCCACAGAGGGTGCTTGTGGCCCCTTAACAGTGTTCTACAAATCACTGCTTCTGCTTAGCCTCCTTCCCTCTGGTCCTGATCGGGAGCTTCAGTCTTTATGCCCCATTACGACTAGGGAAGCCACTTCCTGTGCTACCCCATCTCTGGAAACCCCGGCCTGGTGCCTGGGATGCCCTGGGGGGCTCTGAGAGAGAAGCCGGCACCCTCTTCACACTGCTCGCTGGGCATCGGCTCCCACAGGTCTGCGCCCCTGGACGGTGCTGCGGAGGGACTCGCCCTGTGCCGGGAGGGAGGCGGGTTGCAGGGCTGCTCTCTCGGCCATAGCAGCCACTCCCCACTGCGGCCACCGAGCCCCAAGTGTGGCTGCTGTGGCGGAGGAACGGACTTTTTTTTTTTATTTCATTTCACTTTCATTAACTTAAATACCCATTGGTGGCCAGTGGTGACTATACTACAGGTATAAATAAGACAGCGTCTCGTGGCTGCTGGCATCAGTGCCTCTGACCTCTGTCTCCATGTTCCTTCCCATGGGGCTTCGCAGGCTTCCTTACCCTGAAGAGGCAGCGTCCATTTCCCTACTCCCGACCTGCCTTGACCTGAAGGTGAAATGCCAGCTCCCAGCCAGGATCCCAAGAGGCCTTGCACATTTCCTCTCTTGCTCTTTTGTGATGAGAGCATGTCTTTGCAGTGCAGAGAGGATTGCAATCACACGCGTTAAGTGGAGCCACTTGTGGTATTCAAGCAGGGGCGCTGGATATGACTGTTAGAAGGTTACGGACAAAGGTAGGAGGCAGACAAGTAAGGGCGCTCCTGTGGAGGCCCAGGGCAGGCACCATGGTGGCCTGGACCGGGAAGCTGGCAGTGCAGAGTTGACTGAGATGGAGAATGGGTTCAGGTGAAAGCCAGCAGGATTTTTTTTAAAGCAAGCTAGCAAAGATTGACCCCCTAGGGGACTGGGAGCGTGCCTGGGCTACCTGCTGGAGGAAAGAGACATTTGGGGCACACAGAGCCACCCCAATTGTCCCTGCCAGCAGCTCCCAGCCAAGAACAGAGCCCTATTCCTGACCTGCAGCGGCTGCAGATTTAGGAGAGATGCCAGCTGAGACCAGGAACCCTGCCCAGCTGACCCGAGAACTTGAGCTCAATGTCATTGCTTATCATTTCAAAACACTGATTTGGGGTTTGTTATGTGGCATTATGGCAGGAGCTAAATAATATACTGTCAATGTTTGTGCTGGAATGTGGTTGGGTCAGTGGTGGTGGGGGAAGAACAGGAGAGCTTGTTGGCATGGAAGTGAAGGGGAAAAAAAGTTTCCAGAAGGGGGAGGACCAGACAGGGCCAAGTAAATGAGCAATGGGCAAGCACTCTAGAAACTAAGTTTGCCTGCCTGCATTCCTTCCCTTCTATTAAGAAACCCTGCTGTCTCCACCTGAATCCACCTGCTACTGCCAGCTTCCTGATCCAGGCCACCATCGTGCCTCCCCTGGACCTTCGCAGGAGCTTCCTTGTCTCCCTCCTGCTTCCGTCCACTTTGCCCTCATAACAGCCACCCCCACCGTCTCTGCTTAAACACCACACGTGGCTCTGCTCAATGCTTACAACGAAACCAAAACTCCTTGCCTGGACCACAAAGCCCTGCCTCTTTCTCCAGCCTCATTTTGTTTCCCTCTGCCCCAAACCTCCAACTTCTAGCCACATGGACCTTGTTTTAGATTCTACACAAACATTCTTTTGGATTCTTAAACACAGCAAGCTCATTTCCACCTCAGGGCCTTTGCATGGGATCTTCTCTGCACAGGGACTGCTCTTTTCCTCTTAGATTGCTTGGCTGGCTCTGTCTTATCATCTTGCTTAAATGTCACTATTTCAGAGAGATCTTCCTGACTGCTGAATCTTAGTCACCAACTCACTGCCATCATGTGACCTTACCTTTATTTTTTATTTTATTAAAAAAATATATTTTATTGATTTTTCACAGAGATGGAGAGAGGGATAGAAAGTTAGAAACATCGATGAGAAAGAATCATCGATCAGCTGCCTCTTGCACACCCTCCACCGGGGATGTGCCCGCAACCAAGGTACATGCCTTTGCCCGGAATCAAACCCGGGACCTTTCAGTGGACGCTCTATCCACTGAGCCAAACCGGTCCAGGCGTGACCCTACCTTTATTCTGAGCAGAGCATTTATTCCTACGGATCCTTTGTTCTTGTGAACCAGTGCTTAGACACAGTCTGTATTCACACTGGAATGGGAGGGCCTTGAACATGGGGGGCTGGTCTGTCTGGGTCATGGCTGGGTGTCCAGTGCCTAACACAGGGCCTGACACATGGTAGATGCTTCAAACAATACTTGTTGATTGGGAGAAAATTCTAGAAGGATTTTCTCTTGAACCCTTTGCTTCTAAGGTACATCTAGGATACATGTAACCCAGGACTGAATACAAAACCTCCCCGTATTTGTCTTGACTGTATGTGATAATTAAAATTAAGACGGGAGTTTGTGTTCAATAGATGCAGTACAACAGAACCTAAAGAATGCCACAGATAGATGCATTCATCTCACCCAAAAGTGTTTGTTTTTTCTTACTGATAAATAAATGGGCAGTGACAAAATTAAGAGACTCACAAAAATCTAAATTTCTGATTTGTCTTGAAAAATGGCTGGCTGTTCAATGTCTACATGCCCGTGGGGCAAGAACATGCTGGGGCTCAGCACCGGGGCCCTGGCGGTCTCGGCTGGCACGGCGAGCCAGTGCTGCAGCGGCCAGCCAGCGCCGGCTGCCACATGCTACCTGTCAGGCCCAGGAGGGCATTAGAATTTGAGGACTTGTAATAAAATACTGACATCTTTCTCTCTGGAGGGTGACTCACAAGCAAACTTTATTTTCTTGTGCTCTCAATCTGCCATTTTGAAAATTTCTGCAACAAGCCTGAGTTATTTTATAATGAAAAAAAATCAATAAACATTATTTTTATGGAAGGTTATCCCACAGACTGGAAAGACACAATTTGCATGAAGTGCCCAAAGAAAATGAGACTCTTGAAATAAAGTTCTCACTTTGCTGTTTCCCCAGATACCCTGGGGGAAGGAATTTACTCTCCGCTGCTTTTTGGGATAAGGGTCCTTTGTCCTGATTTATTTTCAGGCTCATATTCATAAATATATTGGGCTTTGCCCACACCAAGGACAGTGGTTGTAGTATGATTAAAAAAAAAAAAAGAAAAAAGAAAAAAGAAAAAAGAAAAAAAAAAGGAGAAGTCAAAGGATTCCAGGCCGGGGGCATCCAGATGGCCCGCTTAATCCCCAAACAAGTCCTAGGATTTGTTTAGGGCTGTCTTCTAGAATCTCCTATTAAGATTATTTATTTTATAAATTCTAAGAAGCCTGGGATGAAGACTATTCTTGAATAATATTCTGCTTCCAAGAGTGGCGTTGGGTTCTGTGCTGGGGATGCACACTGAGGTTCTGTGAGCAAGGGCACTGTGACCAGACTAGCAGGGGCAGAAACCTTCCCCGTTGACCTTGACCCAAAGTAACTGCTGCTACATGCAATGGGGGGTGGGGAGGGGTTGGAAGTGAGTCTGAGCTACTTTCAGCTTGGGAGAGGGAGGGGATGGGCGATCAGGGGGAGCTCTCAACAAGGTTCTCAGGGGACGTGGCGCCTGAGATGGCACCCTGAGACTGGGAGAGGGCTGGCTGTGTGGAGACAGTGGGGGTGATAGGCAAAGGAAAGCACAGAGGGAGCAATGAGCGGTTCATGTAGCTGGTTACGGAGTGCGTGGCTCACACAGTAGGCTCCCTGCTGACGTTGGCAGCTTAATAATAATGGCATGCACATTTACTAAGCACTTTGTAAGTAAGACATGGTTAAAACGGGGATGATAATAATAATACGTCAGAGGTCACTTTTGGGGATTGTCTCCTTTAAACCTCACAACACCTTATGCTGTAAGGCTTCTTATTATTCCCATTTTACCGGTGAGGAAACGGAGGGTCAGAGAGGTTAATCACTTTGTTCAAGGTCAACAGGTAGTAAATGAAAGCTGAGTTCGATCTGCAGTTTCCAGTTTCCAACCCACACTGGGCTTTCCTTAAACTAAGTCAGAATCCACAGGAAGAGGATAGAGGCTGAGGCCATAAGGAGATAAGAACAAACTGTGGCGGCCCTGCAGAAACCCAGCTGGCCACGTAGGCAGTCCCAGCCAGGACATCTTCCGGGGTGTCCAGGATTGAGGCAATAGTTCCAGAGAAGAGGGAAGCGCTAGGCAAGGAAGGGTACACAGGAGGAGCCTCAGTGGAGAGACTGATGTTAAACTTTTTTTTTTTCTTTAAAAGAGGGAGGTGGGAGAAGGAGAAGGGAGAACAAGAAAGAGGAGAGTGAACAGAGGCACTTTTGAAAATCCAACCTAAAAAAATAACCAGGGCGGGGGGGAAACAAGGGAAGAAAGAGGCTTTCTGCAAAGAAGCGAGTCATCAGGACGTTATTTACAATGGCCCATTACTGACAATAGCAACAGGAAAGGGCTGGATGAAGCAAACTCCCGAGTTTCTGCTCTTCTGCAGCATTAAAGAGGATCATTAGCATGAAGGAAGCCGCAGAGAGCGGGAGAGGGGGCTAATATTATAATGCCGATCAAGAATATGACAGGGCTCCACGCTCCTGTTGCAAATACAAGTACGGGGATATCTGCAATGCACATTGCTGGAGAAAGGAAGCCGCGCCAACAAAAGGGCTGCTTGGCTCAGGGAAAGACTGTGGAGGGGGGAGGGGGTTCTGCTGAATTCTTTTCCTACATCCCCCTCTGTTTCCATACATTCTGGAACACTCTTTCCTCAAGTGTCAACCTGCACCTGCTCGTGGCAGGTGGGGTGATTTCTAAGTGACACCGGAAGGGATGATTCTAAGAGGTTACCAGAGCGCTTTAAATAGCGGTTCTGCATTTTGCCGATGTCTTTGGTCATATGTTTAGGGTGTGGTAACGATGACATGGTTATGTTTTAAAATGGACTCTTCTTTTTCGGAGACGTACATTAAGATATTTATGGCTGAGGTGACGTGATGTCAGGGATGTGCCTCCATCAGACCGACCTGGGAGGAGGGGCCGGGGCACGGGATTGGCCTGGAGCTGGTCACCGGGAGAGCTGGGTAGTGGGAGCATGGGGTTACACTCTCTTCTCTATTTTGAATGTATCTGACATTTTCCATAATAAAAAGGAAAAAAAAAAAGTTCTGTATTTCCATGGTTACCTTCCATTTAAGACAAATATAACTATATAATAGGATGACATAGAGCTTCCTTTTAAAATACATATGCTTAACATAAAGGAAATGATGGGGTAAGCATGAGATCTGGCACTCTGAAAAAGTAAAATCCTGATGCTGGCTTAGACGGGGGTGGAGGGTAGACGGGACTTGCTCTAAACTCGGGGACGGTTGCGTAGGAGCTAGGCAAAGGAAGAGAGGGAGAAGCACGTGGCCCCTACCACAGAGGAAGGCCTGCACCCTCCTCCCTGGTCCCCTCCCTGCCCCTCCTCCACCCTGCCGCTCCTCCCTGGCCAGCCTGGCTCACCTGCAGCTGTTCTCCCCATCAGTGTGCAGCGACGTCTCGGCCCTGCGGAGGCCCAGGCGGGCGAAGGAGTGGTACAAGGTCAACGCCACGTCACTGAGGCTGTGGATGCCGTCGGGCTCGTCGTAGACGTTCTCCCAGTAGGAGCGGAGCCCAGGGGTGCCCGCGGGGTAGTTCCCGTACAGGTAGTAGTCCAGCTGCCCGATGATCTCCTGATTCACCACCGCTTCGAACTTGCGGGCAAAGAAGGTGGGCCGGGCTGTCTGCTGTGCTCAAGGGATAAGAAGATTAGCGTCAGCAGGTGGGAGGTAGGGTGTGTGTGTGTGTGTGTGTGTGTGTGTGTGTGTGTGTGTGTGTGTTTATGTGTGTGTGTGTGTGTGTGTGTGGTGGGGTTGTGGGTGGGAGCAGGGCTCTGCAGCTAGCCTGCCTGCTCTGTTCTCAGTGTCCTCCTCTGTTACATGAAGGCAATACATACTAAGGGTGTCAGGATGGAATGAGTTAATGCTGGTGAGGCATTGGGAGCAACGATGGGCGCCTGGGAAGCATCATGTTTGTTAAATGCTGCTTAAATAAATCACACCCTGGTGTTTACAGCTGGGATGGGTCTCCAGAACCGTTTAACTGTAGGTCTAGGGCAAATACAGCCTACGGATATATTTTAATTGTCCAGCAGAGTGTTTTAAAATTGAATTAGCCGGCAATATTTAAAAAGTGGAAGACTTCCCAGGAACGATTCCTGGCTTCCCTTTAAACAGAAATAGATCCAGCAACCCAGACCCATGTTTCTGCATGGGAACAACTGCTTAAAGCTGGCAGGCAGCTGTCCCTTTAGGCGGCCATGGTTTCTTCAGCTCACCACCGTCCCCACCACTGCCTACGTCTCCTGAGCACAACAGCAGAGTCAGCATCTCCAGAGATGAGGTTTAGGAACCTGTATCCCAAAATGCTCCCCTGGTGGTTACGATGCAGAATCTGAAGACCACTTATGTAGCCCAAATGTTCAAGGATACTGGGGCCCGGCAAGGAAAAGGGACTTATCTAAGGTCACAAAACAAGGTAATGACAGAGTCAGGATTAAAATCCAGGGTCCAGGATTAAGCAAATAAACTACTGAGTACCTGCTATCTATCAAGTCTTATGCTATCGTCTGGGCGGGGATTAACAAATGTTGTAGTTCTTTTTAGTAAAGGGCCAGATAATAACTATTTCTAGCTTTGTAAGGATTCAACGCTGCTGTTGTAGGGTGAAAATAGCCATGGGCACACTAGCAGTGAATGGGTGTGGCGGTGTCACAAAAGAACTTACAAAAGCAGGCAGGGGGCTGGATCTGACCCAGATTAGTTTGCTGACCTCTGTCCAGGGCTAAGGAAACAATTCAAAATAGCTACTCCCTTGAGGAGTTTATGGTCTAGGGCAGTGGTTGGCAAACTCACTAGTCAACAGAGCCAACTACCCTGTTTCCCCGAAAATAAGACAGTGTCTTATATTAATTTTTTCCCCCCCAAAGTTGTGCTAGGTCTTATTTTCAGGGGATGTCTTATCTTTCCATGCGCTAGGTCTTATTTTCGGAGGATGTCTTATTTTGGGGGAAACACGGTATCAACAGTACAATGATTGAAATTTCTTTTGAGAGCCAAATTTTTTAAACTTAAACTTCTTCTAACGCCACTTCTTCAAAATAGACTCGCCCGGGCCGTGGTATTTTGTGGAAGAGCCACACTCAAGGAGCCAAAGAGCCGCATGTGGCTTGCGAGCCTTGGTTCGCTGACTACTGGTCTAGTGTTATTATTGAGCTAAGTTTGGGTCGGACACTGTTTTTGCTGCTGTGAAAAAGCAGCAACAATCATGGCAATGATTACCAAGCACTGGAGTTATGGCGTCACCTCAAGTCCTCCCAACAACGCTGCGAAGCGGGCATTCCAATGGCCATGTTACGGATGGGGAAATGGAGCTCAGGGAGGGGGAGTGATATGGACAAACTCACACACACAGTCGTTAAGATTTGAACTCGAATCGGATGCTCCTCGAACCTAAGCTCTTTCTACTGCACCTCCTAAGATCCAGCTGCGAACTGAGGAAACTGGAAGCTCCTGATCACAAAAACCTTCCGCATGATTCTGAACATCCCCTCATTCCTCTGCTTCCTGGACCCTGGGGACGTCCTGCCTCTGTGGCCAGTTCCGTTCGAATCCTCACTGTGCTACTTTCTACTGGTATATGCCTCTGGGCAAGTCACCCAGGACCTCAGTTTCCACACCCTGAACATGGGTACCCTGTGGGTACTTAGCACAGCGACTGGCACAGTGTTAGCTGCTATTATTATGTGACTATTATCACTCCCCTTCCATTCCCCCCGGCCTGAGCCTGCTACCAGGGGCTTCTAAGTCATGATTTTCTGGAGGAAGAAAATCGAATTCAGTGAGAGGGCAGCCTTCTTTCCTCATCCATGATTCTTTGATCAGAGCTGGATTTTCTAAAAGGGCATGTTTCTATATTTATCGTCCTCTTCCTCAGAGCTCTTTGAAGAAGAACTCCGAGTTCCTTACAGGCAGCAGTTTCTGGATTCTAGATGTTGGGGGATACTCTTGACCTCTATTTACTATTTACTGAGGAAGAAAGAGCTGTGAGCACAGGGCACTGTCTCTGTGTTAGTCGGTCTTTATCAGAGACCGCGGTCCACGGGACGCTGGGCCTGGAGTACAGATATTGCTGCCCGCGAACAATAGGTCAAATATTCCCCCTGCAATCCTCTTTCTGCTCAGCAGATCCTTTCTACATGGACAATGGAGCGAAAATGTCACCCAAGTTTATGCCCAAATTAACATGGGCTTGGGAAGGTCCCTGGGTAGCTCTCAATCTGCCACCAAAAAAAAAAAAAAAAAAAAGGCTGGAAAAATACTTTTGCAGCAACCGCTTGCTGAGGAGGAAGACATTAGGTGGGGACCTTGAGGGAATAAGAACCTTGAGGAGTGAAACTGCTGTGTATTCTGCACCTGAGCAGACACAAAGCTGGGAAGGCAGCGGGGGCTGGTGCACAAGCCCGGGGCTGGACCCGGAAACACCTGGGTGGGACCTTCAGCCCTACCGCTCCATTGTGTGTGTCTGTGGACAAGTAAGTTTGCCCACTGGTGCCTCAGTTTCCCCACCTGCACAATGGAGATGATGTCTACCCCAGGGAAGCCAATGAAATGCCCACAGGGGGCCTGGCACACAGCCTGGGAGAGAGCAGATCCCAACTCCTGTGCCCAAACGTAGAGAGCCTCCCAGCCGCCTGGGGATCTCCTTCACGTGCAGATTCTGACTCAGCGGATTCTGAAGCCGCACACTATGCAATGCTTTCTAACCCTCTCCCTGGCGACGCTGGTGCTGCGGGTCCAGGACCACATAGACGAGCCAGGCTGAGAGACTGACGCCCCATGCGGGCAGAGGCTCAGTTAGGAGCCAGTGAGTCAGCGGGGGCACCTCGGTTACTGCTGTCCCCATTCTCCCTCTGGGTTAATGGTTTGGGCAGCATACCATCTCCACGTGACAGCTCCAGTGACCTCAGAGTGATGTGTTTAACCATTTAGTAGTTTCCTGTCTGTGTCCTCTGCAGCTGGGTTGAGCATGGTGACCCGGAGGGTGCTCACACAGGGTGGAAACAGCGTGCCATTCGGGGTGGGTCTGGGGACTCAAGGGAAGCAGTTGGAGCATTTATCGCCCTCTGCCTCTGCTCTCCCCCATCACTGTGAACGAGGCCAGGCAGAGACACCTGGGAGGACAATAATGCTCCTACCTCCTGTTACTCCTTTCAGTTCACAGATTGTGCTGATTTCCAAGCCTGCCTGCTCATCACAATGTCCCCAAGGTGTAATCTATTAGAAATTCCTGGACCTCACTGGAGATTGGTTGTTTGCCCGCAGGGCAGTGTGGCGATGCCCAAAGACATTTCTGGTTGTCACACCGCAGTGTGCTACCTGCAGCCAGTGGGTAGGGCCAGGGATGCTGCTCAACGGCCTGCACAGGACAGCCCACAGCACGGGATTACCCACTACAGTGTTCACAGTGCCGAGGCTGACGAGCTCTGCCCCAGATAGACTCAAGTTTGCACCCAGGAATATGTTTTGAACAAATGTTTTCAGGGGATTCTGCTTAAAAGGCAATATAAAGAAATGGATACAAATATGGCCTTTGGAAACAGATACGTGGGGTTGACCTTGGATAAGGTTTTTGATCTTCATATGCCTCAGTTTACCTATTTATAAAATGGAATAATAATAATAATTTTAATTATCTATCATCTATCTATCTAATAAGTTGTTGTGGGGTTAATGAATCACGACAGGCAAAGTGGTTAGCATTATCCTGGTCTGGAGCCGTTAAAAAAATGTTGGCTACTGTTGACATTGTCATTGTTATTATCAACAGGCAGGGTTGAAAACTGGGGGGTGAGATGATCCACAGGCCTGGCGCTGGTTGCTGCAGAGTATGCTGGGAGCTGGTGTGGGGGCTGCAGGGCACAACGGGCTCACCTGGAAGCGGTGGAAGTCCTGGGGCTTGAAGTCGTTGGGGGAGCAGCCGCACCAGTCCACGATGTGCTTGTACTGGCACTTGCAGCCCAGCTTGCGGTTCCAGTTGGTGATGCGCAGGTTGTTGTCCACCATGGTGTCGCAGTGGGGGCTGTTCTCCAGCACCGTGTGGAAGAAGGACTGCAGGGGAGAGAGGGGCCAGCCTGAGACCGCTTCCCGCCTCCCTCCGATGGGCTGGGTGGGGTCCCTCCGTGGGACCACCTGCCTGCGAAGGGGCTCTCATAGAGACTCTTCTGTTCTTTCTGTAAATGGGGTGCCAGTCTGGCCCTCCTCAGGGGGCACTGGATGTTTTGCCCAGAGTGGCTGAATTCTGCTCAGCAGTCTAATGTCCTGAGTGTTCCTCTAAGGGCCTTTCCCTAGAAGTCTAAACCTGATTTCAAGATATCTCTTATCAACCAGGACATCTCTGTCTGCTCAGCAGAGAGGAGAAGCTCCTTAGGATATGTCAACACATGGGGACCAGAGGAAAACGGGGACAATTATTCAGAAAACCTGGGGCCCTTTGGCTCTTGCTTTGCAAATAGCCAGGACTGAGAACAAAAGGACTCAGCTCTGAAATATCTTGAGAAGAAAGACCAGCGCTCTGGAATTTCACCCCTGGGTAAGGGAGGTCAGATTCATGGGTGCATCAGGCCCCAGGGCGCCCTCCTGACTTAGCTGCTGGAGTAGGTGACTACAAACACAGGGAGGTGAAGGGTGGGGTTGCCTGCTGTCCATGGTGCTGAAACAGGCACCATTGCTTCCCCCTAATCCTGACTCTTGGCTCACCTCTCCTAGGAACCTGTGAAAGAAGCAATGTTGAGAATGAAGAGAGAGACTGGAGAGGAGAGATATGGTTAGAGATGTAGAGAAATAGAAATAGAGATAGAGATAATAGAGATAGAGAGACAGAGAGAGAGGGAGGCTTTTATTCGGACACTGCTTTAACACAACCCAGATACCAGGCAGATACCTTTCCTCTTTTCTCTGCTCACCAGGGGAAGCTGTTGGGGAATATGTATTTGCCTGTTATAAATTTATGGCACAGCTTTCAGATTTCTTCCGAACCAGTTCCCTGGAAGTGGTCTGGGAGAAGGGAGGGCAAGGCGGAGATGCTGGAATGGAGGAGAGGGTCTAACAGGGACCTGGAGTATCACGTGCTGGTGGGTACTGGGACAGGGATGGGACAGAGAGCCAGTGCCAGGATCAGCATCTTGATGAAAAGAACCAAAGCCTCAAACAGTCTTTTCTCAAAGGATGGGTGGACACAATGAGGTTCCCTTCCCTCTCTGCCCCCGGCTGACCTTCCTGTGATGCTCAATGACATGTCCGCGAACCTGGGTTTCAAGCTTGAGTTGTCTCCAAGCCCACAGAGGCCCATATTCTCCATCAAGCGGTGGGGGAAAGTACCCAATTACCAGCTGCCCTGTGTCCTTTCATAATGATACCAAAAGTCTCTTCAAGATAATGGATGAGGAGGTTATCGGAATTGAGAAAAAAGGTGATGTTTTGCTGAAATGGGATTAAAAGCTGATTACTTAACATGTGTGCAGAATAGCAAAACCTGGCCCCGTGACAAGAAGCCCATCATCTCTCTGGAGTGAAGTGGGCAGTCGGCCCTACCAAGAGCTTGTCATCGCCCCAGATGTTGGTGAGAAACATGGAAACCATCAGAGGAGATGCCCTGTCTTGTCTGGACTAGAAACACAGTGGTGCAGAGAGGGGGCACAGGCCGGAAGGAATGGTGGGTCACTCGTGGGAGAGGTCATGGGCTCAGCGGAAACAGAACCAGCTCTGGAGTTTTCTGAAGTAGGAAACTAAGAGTTGGAGGTCAGGAAGCTTAACCTGGACTCTCTCAGCCCAGGTCTGATGAAGAGGCTCTAATGGCACATCAGCAGCCACACTCCAGATGGGGCCAGGGCTGTTTCAGAACAGCCTGCAGTCTTCCACAACAGGGAAGACTAAAACGGGCTGGATGTCTGTCACCCCAACATCCAAAGGTGAAAGCGTAACCCCCAATGTGATAATGTTACAAGTTGGGGCCTTTGGAAGCTGATCAGGAGATGAGTGGGGATTAGTGCCCTTATAAAAAGGAGCCCAGAAAGATCCATATTCCCTTCGGTCTTATGAGAACACAGTGAGAACTGTCTGGAGACATTCTGCGACCTGGAAGAGGGCCCTCTCCTGATCATGCTGGCACTCTGAGCTGGGCCATCTTGCCTCCAGACCTGTGAGAGGTACATTTCTGTTGTTTGTAAGCCACCTGCCCTATTGTATTTTGCAGCCCAAACTAAGTCCGCTTCCCACCCTGAGGTCTGAAACGTGGGGACAGACTCCCCAGAGCTTTTCAAATATTTCCGAAAGCCACGGGAAGCGCTGAGTCCCAGGCACTTGGCCATGAGGGCTGTCGGTGCAGAGGCTGATGCATCTGGCACAGGCCCCGCCTGTTGTCTTTGGGACCACTGCCAACACTAGTGTCTGTCTGTCAGGAACTGAAAGAACCACAGTATTCAAAAACCAGAAGAGGGATTCTTGGTTGAGAAAGCCGTGACAAGACTGGTGACTGCGGAGCTGATGTGGGTGTGTCCCGAAAGGGCCTGCACAGATGTGCGGATCCCACACAGCTCCACTCGGGTGTGAGGGGCTGCCGTCAACATAGCAGGCCAACACCCACAGGCTTGTCATTTTTTAAGTAACAGTTTTCTAGAAAATGGCAATGCCTTCTTCTAACAAAATCAGTATATGATTATTTTAACACCCATGTAAGCCACATGTCTTAAGAAAGGGATGCCTTTTCCACTTTGCATGAGGATGCCGTGGACTGCTGGTGGCAGCGCTGTGCTGCCTCCAAAGATGGGAGGGGACCAGGGTCCCTGCCATTGCAACTAGGTCCCTGGCAGTCAATGCCGCTCTCCGTCCTCATCTGGTTGTTTGGAGGGCTCTGTATTGGATTCAGCAATGCTTCGCCAAAAATTCAGCATCCGCTTTGCTCTAAATGCCAGAGCCAGCTCCGGCCATCCTGGGGGATTTTTTTTCGGGGACGCTCACCTCGGCAGGAAGCAGGGTGTAGGAGTAGAACTGCTTCATTTTAGTCACCAGATCGTCTGTGGAGAAGGTCACGTACTCCACAAACTTGCGGTTCAGCAGGAACCAATCGGAGCCGCCGTCCACGGCAATGCCCTCTGGGATCCGCCGGTCCCCCAGGCGCCACATGTGGGCGTCGCACTCCAGGAAGAGCCGGTCCAGGCCCTGTTTCCGGATGAACCTGAAAGACACAAAGAACTGGTTAGCCCAAAGGTGCCTCCGCCCAGAGTCCAAAGGAGATGGCGCAATCCCAGCAATCAAACCATGTGCCAGGCACCGAGCCCGGGCTCTGTGTATACGCTGTCCCTTGGTTTACACGGAGAGATAGGTCACGCTACCCCTCTGAGGTGGGTTCTATTATTACACCCATTTTACAGATGGGGACACTGAAGCTTAGAGAGTTTAGGACACTTGCGGAACACAACTAGATAGCAATGATCATCCAGCACCTTGACTTCCTCTTTAGAGAACTGTGAAACCATCCTTCATTGCCATGGACGCCTGGGTAACTTAGTGAACACAGCTTGTGGATATTCATCTCAGAATAACGTTCTTCAATCATAACACACAGAATGACAAAGTACTGAAAAAACAGGAAGTTTATGATATAGTAATTCTGCTGCTTTTTGACTCACATATTAAAAACAGGATTATTAAATATTTCTTAAAACACCGAATTTATGATAATTACCCAGGGTGTGTTTCTCTCTTGGCACATAAAATAACAAGACCATGTGGCAGGTCTAATGACCACTGTAAAGGCAAGGAAGTGGTGAGCGTAAATGACAGGTGCAGACTCATCAACTAATATGTGATATGAAAATACGTGACTCTTAATAGTTACTGCTCAGACTATTGTGGTTTGGACTCTACATTTAGGTAGATATCAGTGAAAATAAAGAACATTCAACATCATGGGCCCTCAAAACCCCATCTATGAACTTCAGATGGACAACTCCTGCTTGAGAGAATAAAACGCATAAATATTTGGGATTTTGCAAGGCAGGCTGGCAGCTCTGGCACTTCCTTTTCTGTAAAAGCAGAAAGCAATGGTCGAAGAGCTGGTAATACAGTTGTGAGGGGACACTGGACAGAGCAAGAACCCAGCCTCTGGCCCAAACTCTGTGCATTGACAGAGAGCATTAACTGCACACTTACTATGTGCCAGGCATGCTGTTGGCCCTGTGCAGGCCAAGGAGGAGTAAGGATGATCCCTGCTCCTCAGGGGCTGGTTACTGAGCTGGGAGCTTAGTCTAGTAGCCTGCCTGCTCAGGGATCCTGCTGCTCCCCAGGCCTACAACATAAAGTCACCCTTTTTAACGTGTACAGTTCAATGGCTTGAAGTTCATTCACAATGCTGTGCAACCATCACCTCTATCTAGTTTCAAAATATTTCATCACTCCAAAGGAGACCCCATGCCCATAAACATACCCCATGCCCCGTACCCCTTAGCCCTTGGAAACCACCAAACTATTTTCTGTCTCTATGAATCACCAATTTGGGGTATTTCATATAGAAGGAATCCTATACTATGTTGGCCTTTTAAAAAAAATATGTTTTCACTGATCTTAGAGAGAGAGGAAGGGAGAGGGAGAGAAAGAGAAACATCAATTGGTTGCCTCCTGTATGCACTCCGACCGGGGACCAAACCCACAACTTGGGCATGTGCTCTGACAGGGAATCAAACCGGTGACCTTTAGGTGCATGGGAGGATGCTCAACTGAGCCACACCTGCCAGGGTTGTTGGTGTTTTTGTTTGGCTTCTTCCACTCATCATAATGTTTTCAAGGTTCATTCATACTATAGCACATACTGGTGCTTCCTTCCTTGTTTCTGTCAATCCAGCATCCGTTCCTCAGTTTCCTGGGAGTTACATCTCGACTTTACTTTGGACAGTCACTAATCTTCATCTTGGGTTTGCACCTAAACCCTGACACCAGGGGTTGAACATGACCCAGCCTGGTCAATTACATCTGCTTGGCTGCCATATTGGTTCAGAAATGGGTGACAGATTCAAGCTGGAGTTGAAATTGGATCCTGGATTTTTGCTGAATTTACTGGAATGGAAGAACCTTCGATGGGATTCTTAGTTGAGAGAATGCAAGCCTAGAGCTGGCTGGTAGCTTCTTATCACCATGAGTACAGAGGCTGTCTGACAGTGGAGGGAACACAGAAAGAAGTGGGAGGGAGGCCACATTACATGGGAGCCCAGGGAAAGTTGCCACTGTTCTGAGGACACACAGAGACAGATAAAGGACATCTGCCAACCAGAAGACCCAGGTAGCCAACATCTCTGGTCTAGTTCTTTCTCTAACACATCTTTCCACGCGCTAAATCCAAGTTTGGCCTCACGTGGACAAAAGGTTAGGAATCTCTTTGGGGGGATGTGACATGACGGGGGTCTTTCATTATACTCACCATATCACACCAAACTTGGATTTAACCAGTTCATTAAAAGGAGCCCTGAGTTTAGGAAAATAAAATCCTATCTCGACTCTGGTTGATGCTAACTTGTACAATACCATACAGTCGGTGCATTTAACTGTGCTTAACACTTTAAAATTTTAGATAATTTATATCAAAACTTACATGGTAACCAGGACTAACCCAGAGAGAGAAATAAAAGGTATCCAGGTGCGAGGACTTGCAAAATTTTTCTTTCCACGGACCAGCGTTTTAATTTTATGTTCCATTATATGGGATAATAGCATTGCCTTGCAATTTTAATGTGATGTCCCAGACCATAATATCCAAATACAATATTTATGCAGTAATCTCCAAAATGAAATATTCATGGGGTTGGGAGATTGGTTGCTGTATTTACTGCATTCCAAAACTGATAAGCTGCAAACACAAGCTTTGGTTAATTATGAGTAAAAATAGAGACAATCGCTCCCAAGGTCTCAGGATTTTCTAAGTTCCTGGGTTGAGAGGTGCTACTGGGACCTGAGTCTGGGCTGGGAGAAGGTGGCACAGACCCAGGACCTGGGTATCTAGCAGGTGAAAGAAATCAGCTGCTTAGGAAGTGAGTTGCTGTTTTTCCTGCCCTGTGCATTCACCATTCCTTGGAAAGGTCAAGGTTGAAATTCAAGGTTAAGTCAGCAAACTCCTGGATGTGTCTTTTCATAGATGCAGGCTCACCAGGAAGCTTGATTCTCAAGGAAGGCAGGCTGATTTGTAGCAAGGGGCCCAAGACATTGAAGGTAACTAATGACGCTCTCCTCCCTACAGTTTCATTTCCCATTGACTTGGTTTCCTGGGGCAACTGTGTCCATAGGTGGAAATACAGAAAACTACAGTCAAAGCTCAATAGGATTCTACTGGGATGTCACAGGTCCCCAGTCTACTCGGCTGAGCATCAAGAAAACCAAATGGGAGCTGAGGAGGGGCCCGGATTCTCGCCCCAAGGAGGAGAATTCAGTTAAGAAAGCACCTGTAGCCTTTGGAAATGATCTCTGAGAAAAGGCAGGCAATGAAGAAGCCCCTCGATTCAGTTAATTCCCTCGCTGCAATCTCAGCATCTTCATGGAGTAGGAAATTATTCCAGAACAGTCTTGTCCTATAATGAGTTCTCAAAGGAAGAACTCTGCCCCTCGGATTTTACAGCATGTCTGAGCACGAGGGGATCTCAGCAATCAGCTCATATAACTAATTCTACAGATTAAACACACAGACGCAGACTCACGGAGACCCAGAGGGACGGATGAGCGAAAGTCATCCAAAGTCACATAGCCTCGGGGAAAAAACTCCCCTTCTCGCGTTTCCTGCCCAGTGATCTGTCACTGAACTCAGATTACTCCTTTAGCATAAGTACAACCTAAGCATTTTAGTTAACAAATAAAGCCATGGGACGAAGCATGAAAGCCACAATGTCTGAAGTCAGCCAGCTATGTGAATGGGCTCACTCATGACAGCCACATGATAATGCGGAGGCCAAGCTTTGGGCATTGGAGTCAGACTGTTTGATTCAAGAATTGCATTTGCAGTCACCTTGGGCAACTCGAACATGAGATGGCTCAGTTTCTCATGTGGAAAATGGTGATCGTAATAATAGCTGCCTTACAGAGTGAGTGTGAAGGTTTAAATGAGAAGATATACGGTGAGGGCTTAGCAAAGTGCTCAGCACACAGTAAGTGCTCCAGAAATGCTCACCAAGATGCTAACCTTTTTCCTTTATCAAGCTAGAAAGTTTGAATTCCTTTCTCTCTTGCCATTTGGTATAGGTACATACAGGGCACACGCGAAACTAAGGAGAAACCCTGTATAAAAGGAAAAAAAAAAGAAAAAAGAAAAAAAAAAAAGGTAGGATATTTCAGCACCAAGGACAGAAGCCCAACGCCCCCACACAATGAACCCCATCTCTTGCTATTATGTTAGTTAGGCAATGCCTATGCTTGTGGTGGCAGAGGTGGCAAGTATCATGGGTATCCTAATTCTGTCCTAGCACCATGAATACAAACTCCCCCCCCCTTCCCCCATCTTTCCATGCCATGAGTCGGTCAGTGAGAGTCTGGCTCACTGGGTTCCTACTTTGGCAGCTCCATAGGGGCCCTGCTGGCCATTTGTCTCAGGCCCAGGGTGGGTTGTGACCCTTCCTGACCTCAGCTGCTGGCAGAACAAGGGGGCCTGGGGCATTTCCTCATTCAGCAGCTCTAGAGTGCCCCTTCAGTCCTCCAGGTCTACGGGCTGAGAATATGCTCATAGATGAGATGGACACCATCCCTTTTTCTTCTCTCTCTTCTAAATATAGAGACAAAAGGATGAAATAATGCCATCTGCCATTTACTAAGCATGTACTATTTTCTAGGCCCTGGTCCTCATACTTATTATGTATTATATTCTCTCCTTTAGTATTCACCATAATCCGTCTTTTTTACAAATGAGGGTTCATTTTACACATGAAGGAATCAAGACACAGAGGGAGTAATTTTCCCAAGGCCACCCAGCTGGTTAGTGGCAAGGGTGGGACTCAAACCTTAGCAGTCAGGCTCTGGACTCCACACTCTTAGCCACAAGGTTATAATGCTGTTCTAACAAATAAACACTGTAGACACAAGAAGCGACAAAACACATTAATATGCAATGAGATGCTTTTGGTAAGTGCTCTACAGAGAAACTCAGAGGGCGATGACCGAAAGTAAACAGACAGAGGCTTAGCTGGTGCTGACTCCTGGGGGAGC